TTCAGTTCTCGGGAGGATCGGAGCCATTTTTTGGTGTCGATATTTATATTACTTTCGCCTAAACACCCCCACCAGATAGAGTTCTTGTTTCCATTGAGAGTGATACTGCAATTGTACAGCGCCATGCATTTTTCTAATCAACATTTTCTGACGGATCCCATCCAAAACATATCGTCCTGCAATGTCACTACAGTTCAGGGAGACGGTGGATAAGTAAATCCCCTACGGCTTGACGGTTTTGAAGGAGCGCCGCATGTTTAGATGATTTACAATAGCTCAGGTAGCACAGGCGGTCATCAACGCACGTGGTACACAAATTCTACAAAGAAGTGGAACCTATGGTGATTTTTATCATTTTTAAGGTAGGAAGGCACTAAAGAAATGGTGTGGATACCTGATAGCAAAGCTCAGAAGTAAAATAAATCCAATGGCTCCAATAATCCCGACAATAAACTGCAGAATTATGAATGTCGTAGGAACTGAAAGAGAAGATAACACTCCTATAAAGTTGTTCTGTGTAAATGTAAAATTGCCAATAAATGTTGCTCCAATCAATACCCTATGCAAATGATGACGTCTGTTTGATGCATAATTCCGCACTCAAGGTTGTGACGTGGATAACGTTATTGCGCACCAGTGTCACAAACCCATCAATATGTTGTTTTCCATCTACCAATTTGTATGGACACCCGTCCCCTGATCCGACAGAATTCAGGAACCATTTAGACTTCTCTGCCCAGAAAACACAGAAGGAATTCATAAAAATTGCACAAACTGTGTGGAGGTCCCATGTGACACTTGCCTCCAGTTAAAAGGCCCAGTCTAATCTCTATTGTATTTATGAAATTCACAATTCTATTGACCTAGCTGTTACGCCACTGTAATTGCTCGAAACGGTAGAGCAGTTAAGGACACTGCACGTGAGTTTCATATCCTCTTGAAATGCTAACAGGGAGGTTAATATTTTATCACAAAATCGCAAAACATACGACACTTGTAATATTACTTATCATGACATTTTGGATTCTGCGCACCCATAACGCTATTACCCTCCCCGTAACGGCCAAGAAGTTGTGACCGAAATGCTATTCCTGAAGGGGAGATTAAATTATTTCTTTCAAATAAACTAACACATTGTCGGTAAAAATTAGGTTGCGCCGATCGTATTTCATTTCAGGCCTTAATTGACAAGGATACAAAACAAAAAATGATGTTCACTTAAGCCATGATTCTATCCATAAAAAAGAAGTGGAATCAATTTGCGACAAATAAACTCAGCCTGCCGCTTAGACTACTAATTCTTCAGCGGCTACTGTTGGGGCTCGAAAATGAGCTCCAAGACACAACAAGACGAGATAATCCCGTGTCCGATCGACGAGCGTCAATCCAACAAAATCTAATTACTGTCCTCTCAATCTCAAAGCCTCTTAAATTTAGGAATTTATCATACTACGAAATTGCAAATGAGCAACCAAAAATCATAACGAAATGGTCATAAACCACGATTTAAGAATGCATTTCGCTCCAGTACTATCAGAAGTACGCAGTTGATGTTCCATTTTTGCCCTGATATGTGTCGACCGTCAACTGATTTGGACTTAACTCACTCTGCAGAGATGGATTGACCGAACCAAAAAGTTATAATTAGGGCTTTAGCCTGCATTCTATATTTTCTAACCAAAAATATTTATCTGACTTTTTAAATCAGTAACTTCGTAAATCTTAATAAACATTGTAAAACCTTTGAAACACGATGATAGCAGACAACAATCAATTCGAGGATGACGATAGGGATTGGGCCAAACTTTGGGGTTCACAATTATGAAAGCCCCTCTTCGGGACGGGAGCATGCTGTTAAGTTCAAATATCTCCTCAAAGTCCAAAGCACTGAGGTTGGCGGCTCACGCAAATATTGCAGGTTTGAAGGTGAAAACGTAGAAATCATAATCCTCCATTTCTTCCTCGTCGTGATTGGACAAACTATATGCCACATTTGGTAGAACTGGAACCGTAAACAAGCCTTAATTAAGCGGAGCGAAGAAACTCCTGTTGGTGGGCAGTACGTCACCACTTTTGACGTAGTTAACGTAGGTCAAGCGCATGGCTAAGGCCACCGCGGACGCAAGAGACACGTGAATTTTCTGTAATAAGAAGGAAAGATGCCAGCCATTACTTATAAGTC